TAATGTGCAGTCAGTTAACACTAACTAGTTTTATCAATCACAAATTTATTTTCAAATACTGTGTTTTATATTGTACTGATTTCATAGTTGTCTTTCATCTTTTTTTGTGGGGATGGAGGGATGAGGAGGGTGGGAGAATCAAAGGAAGGAAGAAAAATGCTTGAGTCAATTCCATTAGCACTCTGTGACAGTTTTGTAAAGAACAAACGATACTTCTCCAATTCCAGGTTTGATTTCCACCCAAAATATATGTAGGTGCATAGAAAAAGGTAACTCGATAGACTTGGAATGTGCTGGTCATCAAACACATAGGCTTTTGCATCTGTTTAATTGTTTTGTTTTAAATGACAGATGATGTTCCAGTGACCTTTTCCTGTGAGGATCTCAGGACGTCCCACAGGTCTTTAATTTAAGCCTCATCTTTTCCATCCAGGAAATAATGCAAGTAGGGCTCTCTTGCTAAAGGGGAAGAAAATGACAGGTTTATTCATAAAGGAGCTGCCAGTTAGACATCTACCCCAGAAGGACATAGAATAATTTGGCTTGAGACCGGAGACCCCACCAGCTGAAAATAAAACAAATTATGTTCCAAATCTGATTTTGAAATGAGAAGTGAAGAGCCTCCAGTTTGAAAATAATCACATCCTCTGTATCTTCATCCTCCAAATGAGCACTCTCTTCCATTTTAGTCAGTCAGTGTGCAATGTTCCTTTTATTTCTGTTCTCCAAGTCTTGACATCACTAAAAATAAATGACTCAATTACACTTGTGCATAGGCAGCTGGAAAACTACCAAAATCTTCCCCAGCTCTAAACTGTGTAAACAGAGACACCAGAGGGGGTGGGGGGACAGAGAGAAAAAGGAAACAAAAGTGAAGAGTGCAAGAGAATTTTAAAAAGAGAAAGTTACACAAAAGAAGGTCCCAGGGAAGAGCGTGGAGTGTTTATTCCACGCCTTGGTTCCCGGTGGCACACTGCAGTCTATAAACCTCTGGATCCAGGAAGCAGACCAGGTGGAAAAAAAGGATCAAGAAATTTTATAAACACCTTGCAAATCAATGTGTCCGGCCAACACACATTCCAGGGCTCATCCTGGGAAAGTGTTGGCAGTTGCCTCTGGTCTGATGCCTGATCAGGCATCTGGTCTGGTCTGATCTGGCATCTGGTCTGGTCTGGTCTGCCTCTGGTCTGATGCCTGATCAGGCCTCTGGTCTGATCCTCTGATCTGAGGATCTTGGGGGCCTCATCTAGAACTTGAGGACTAATGGGAAAAATGGAAACAGAATCCCAGCTGGCCAGCCAGCCCCAAAATACAACCACAAACCCCCATCAGTTTCCAAAGACTGGTCTTTTGTGGTGGCTCTTAGCTCACAAGGCACAATTACAAAAATGAAATGTTCCAAACGTCCTATACACCCACAACATTCTTTCTTTTATTTACAGTCTTGGGTGGAAGAATATACTTTGTCTCCTAGTGTCATTTTGCCAGGAAAGAAAAGCAGGTTTGGCCAGCAGAAAACCTGGTCGTCTCTATTCCTTCCTTCGTGTAACTCTGGAGAGGAAGGGAAAGGTCAGATCAGCTGTGTGGCTCGGCTGCATCACCCTGTTGCTGAGCTGCGCGTTATCTACATGCTTCCAGGGGAGAACCTCGCTGGAGATGAAAGTAGGTCACCAGGCGGTGAAAGGGGCAGGAGACTTGACCGAGGATAATGAGATGCGAGAGCTGGGTTAAACCCAGGCCCTAGAGTCCTGGGTGCTTCCTCTACACAAAGTTGGCCAGAAAGGAAAAGGCGAGGGTTTCTCCGTGACCTCTCTCTCCTTCTCCTGTTGTCTCTGCCCCTGCTGTGCTCTCGTTGCAATCAGTAAATGAAGTGTCTGTGGGAGCCAAGGAATCTGTGAAGGGACCCGCATGGGCAGTGGCAAAGAGCTTTCCTCTTTTTCCACACAAAGACAGGCCAAAGGGGAATGGTTTAAATTGCTTCCAGCAGGATTTAGGTTCTGCAGGAGGAAAATCTCTCTGAGTATGATGAGCCTCTGGAATGCATTACTAAGGGAAGCAATGGAATCCACTTCAGAGATCTCCGAGGGCGCCGTGGAATGCTGATCTTTCCTTAATGGCTAATATTTTGATGTAATCAGAGGTGGAGGCATGGATGAGCTTTTAAGTCCCTTTCACTCCTGAGACTTGAGTGTACGCTGGCAGCAGGATGAAATATCCGTTGTCCTGTGACATCTTTAGTACCCACACCCAGCTTCATTTAGATCACCTGAGGCCCTTTGGGCATCTCCCCTACCGCCCTTCCCCCCTCCCCCACCACCACTGGTGATTAGTTTTGGGACCTTAGTGTATAGATCTGGTGGTGTCCGGATGGGGGAGGGGTGATGGGAAAGAAAAGAATCACGTTGAAAACAACAGGAGTAAATGGACCAGAGAGGGAGTTCGAGCCAAATTTCTAGGAAGTGCTGAAATTTGAGTGAGGGAAATGATGATAATCTATCAAATATTACAAGGGGTAGAAACCATGACAGAACTGGAAAGCAGAGCCAAGGCTCCCAGGCTGGGTAGAAGGAAGATGAAAAGGGAGGATGTTAAGAGCAGGATTCTTACTTATGGGACCTTTGAGACTCCCAGGCTTGCCACAGGTGTATCCAATGAATGAGCGAAAAAATGCACTAAAAATTGGATATTAACAATAGTTAACATTCAGAAATTTACAAATGAATCTACGAATGGCTTCAAAGAGATCTTTATGATAATAAGATAATTATATCACTGGTAGTCCCTTTTAATTTCTTGGGCCAAAGCTAGTGGGTGGAGAATCGGGATGAACTTGTATTTGCTCTTGGACGTGCTTCACGTGGGTAAATGAGAGCCACCGGTTTGAGAGTTAAGGCCTGGCTCTCAGCGAAGATCCCATAGATGGGTCTGACTGGCAAGGTCATCGCTGGGGAGTAGACAACCGGGTGAGTCGGTCAGGCCCCTTGGAGGTCCAGAGCTTAGTATGAAGATATGCTCATTGGTGCATCTTCATTGTGAGAATATTTGCCTGTGCAGAGAGTCAGCACCTTTTCTGCTTTACTTTTTCCTCCAGAGCAATTTTGTCAGGTAAGGGTGCTCACTTCTACCGATTACTTCGATAGAAACAACCTGTATGTTTACATGATGGAGTATGGGCTAGCCAACAGCCTGCTTTCCAGTTTGTGAGGTTTTTTAAAAATTTATTTATTTAATTAATTTATTTTTGGCTGCATTGGGTCTTCGTCGCTGCGCGTGGGCTTTCTCTAGTTGCGGCGAGCGGGGGCTACTCTTTGCTGCACTGTGCGGGCTTCTCATTGCAGTGGCTTCTCTTGTTGCAGAGCACGGGCTTCAGTAGTTGTGGCTCTTGGGCTCTAGAGTGCAGGTTCAGTAGTTGTGGCGCACAGGCTTAGTTGCTCCGTGGTATGTGGGATCTTCCCGGACCAGGGCTCGAGCCCATGTCCCCTGAATTGGCAGGAGGATTCTTAACCACTGCACCACCAGGGAAGCCCCAGTTTGTGAGTTTTTAAAAATACTTTGCCCTTCCCTTATTATTATTTTAAAATTAAATTGTTTTAATTGAAGTATAGTTGATTTACAGTATATTAGTTTCACGTGTACAACATAGTGATTCAATATTTTTATAGCTTATACTCCATTTAAAATTATTATGAGATATTGGCTATGTTCCCTTATACTGTATATTACATCTTTGTATCTTATTTATTTTGTGCCTAGTAGTTTATACCTCTTAATCCCCTCCCCCTATTGTGCCCTTCCCCCATTCCTCTCTCCACTTCCAGTTTGCGAATTTGTTTTTTTAACATCTTTATTGGAGTATAATTGCTTTACAGTGTTGTGTTAGTTACCGCTGTATAACAAAGTGACTCAGCTATAGTATACATATATCCCCATATCTCCTCCCTCTTGCATCTCCCTCCCACCCTCCCTATCCCACCCCTCTAGGTGGTCACAAAGCACCGAGCTGATCTCCCTGTGCTATGAGGCTGCTTCCCACTAGCTATCTATTTTACATTTGGTAGTGTATATACGTCCATGCCACTCTCTCCCTTCATCCCAGCTTACCCTTCCCCCTCCCCGTATCCTCAAGTCCATTCTCTACGTCTGCATCTTTATCCCTGTCCTGCCCCTAGGTTCTTCAGAACCTTTTTTTTTTTTTTTTTTAGATTCCACATGTATGTGTTAGCATACGGTATTTGTTTTTCTCTTTCTGACTTACTTCACTCTGTATGACAGTCTCTAGGTCCATCCACCCCACTACAAATAACTCAATTTCATTTCCTTTTATGGCTGAGTAATATTCCATTGTATATATGTGCCACATCTTCTTTATCCATTCATCTGTTGATGGACACTTAGGTTGCTTCCACATCCTGGCTATTATAAATAGAGCTGCAATGAACATTGTGGTACATGACTCTTTTTGAATTATGGTTTTCTCAGGATATATGCCCAGTAGTGGGATTGCTGGGTTGTATGGTAGTTCTACTTTTAGTTTTTTGAGGAACCTCCATACTGTTCTCCATAGTGGTTGTATCAATTTACATTCCCACCAACAGTCGCAAACCAACAGTTTGCGAGTTTTTGAGCTAACAAGCAAAGAGAAGTGGTTAGCCTTCCTTTCTCTTGTATTTCACAGTGACATTCATGCAAAATTGTCTTTGTACCATGAACTAGGCTGTGGAAAAGGGAGTTGAGGATGAATAAGACAGGGTTCCTGCCATCAAAGCAATCCATTCAGGAATAGCTATTAGCTTGCATCAAGGCTTCTGTGTGGTGGAAACCAGGCAGAGAGGACAGAGGGAATGAAGCCGCCGGTGATGAGAAGCATGACTCCTGGCATCGCATTTTGTTTCGCTAAGACACTGATTTAATGAGAGAACGTAATCAATGGAGGTGAGTAGAAGTCACAGCCCTTGGAGAGAGTTGGTTAATACTATAGCATTTGCTTTCCTTCCCCACAGGCAGACTTTTAACTGGAATACTTGAAACCCCATCATTCTCTAAGATGAAGAACGAGGAGTGCAAAACCAGTCTGCAGCCACAGCAGCTCTAAGGCACTAGGTAGGTATTTAAACTTGGGTTTCTTTCCTTGATGCCTCTCATCAGAATGGATTTGAGGCAAGAGGCTCTGTGATTTTCCTGCTCCTCGGGAATGGGTGGAGTGACATTATGGTTGAACAGCAGGGATGATGTTAATGACCCAGGGCTGGGAGTTGTTGAACTGGTGGTAATTGTCCGAATACTGCCACTGACATTTCTAGGAAGGAATTTTGGCCCTGATGAGTTTGGCTGCAAAATGGTGGTAAGATAACCTTCCCTTCCCCCTTCCCATTTTCAGTTCCTCTGGGGAAGAGGAAAACCCCAGACACCAGCTTTCTGGTAACATGAGAAGCTTCCCATAACCATGTACTATAAATTATAATAAGCACGACCCTTCTCCTTCTCTTCCTCTTTGTTTCGCTCCCTGAGCAATATTGTAAGAGTCTACACAATCTCATAAGGGACTTGGCTGGCAATCAGTTGAAGAGACTGTTCCTTTGGCAGCAGCTCCAGGCGACTAGACTAGACTAATGTATTCCTTTCTGCTTAGTTTTTACAAAATCGCCTTATGGTTCTATGCAGCTGAGCGGCTGGAAGAAGAAACCCAAGTGCAGAGAAAGTTAAGGCACAAACTGGCAAAGCCACTCAGCTAGTATTATTTCACCCTCGTTAAGTCACGGGGCCGGACACATGCAGCAGAGTTGCTGTCCCCTCGGGATGTGGCCTCTGGACAGTCAGTGAGGTCCGAGGTCTCTGGTTGACCCAGAGGCAGCTGGGGCTGTGATGAGTCTCTCCGGAGATAAAGTGTTCTGGGCTGACTTTGTTTTCTGTGTGGCACATCCCCCTCTGACTCCACCTTTGGTCTTTCAGACTCTGGCTGTGCTGGGATGGGAGGATACACTTTGCACAAACACCCCTGGAAACAAAGACCACCCACCAGTTTGCCCAAGTGAAGTTATTTGTAAGGCCATTTTTGCCTATCTTGGAGTCATAAGAAATGAATTTTCTTAATTCCAGCACTAGCCACCCATGTGATCTAGGGCACGTTGTAAGATTTTTGCTCCCAAATCTCTTATTTATAACAGGATGGGGGAGGCAAATGATCTCTAAGTTCCCTTGTTGCTCACTTAGAAAGAGCCTAAGAAACCAAGTCTTATTTTCTGGAAGATGCATTACAAGCAGATGAAAACATTTTCCCCACCTCCTGAAAAACAAATAAATACATAGAGTCTTATCAAAACTTAACTGAGGTTTCTAATCATGCTCTTAAATTTTGTTTTGTAGAAAGTGAAATAAATTCAGACCAAATGTACCTCACGTGAAAGAAGTCAAGCTAAGTAAACTGCAGTGAGATGGGGCAGCCTGGATGAGTCTTAGTCTGAGGCTGGGCCACATCCACAGATGCTGCAAGGAAGTTCAGTCCAGCATAAATGCAAGGCCACAGCATATGCATGTCTGGCTCTAATGGCCTCTCAAAAGCTTCTTTGCTTGCCCCATGTACTAGATAGTTCATTAAGAGGACAGCTTCCATGCATGTCCACAGTTTTAGCTCTCAAGCACTTACTCTGAATTGTTCAGTGATGCCATTTTGTTGTGGACCCATCCAGCTACTAACCTTGGTACTTATTCTTTTGTTTCTGTACTTGCTTCACCCTTTGAACTTGATGGTGAATATTATGGTTCCAGCTGAACTTCCTTCTGTAAGACTTTATTTCACCCAGATACTCTGCTTTAGGCCTCCTTGGTTGAACCTGGCCTTGGTCTCTCCCCGTGTGAGCTCTGTCACCATGGGTACGACACTCACCAGTTTTAGCCGACTTCCTTGTGCAGCTGTTGAACATGGTCATAGATAATAGGTGAGAGAAGTGCAAACGGTTAGAGTCAAGGGTCTCAGAAGATTTTAACAGGGTTTCTGATGGATCAGCAGAGAGCACAGAGCAGGTGATCCTCCACATCCAAGATGTATAATGGGAATCAAGGCTGGATAGTAGGGACCCAGCTACTGGACTAGAGTTCAGAGTTTGGGTTCTAGTTCCTGGTGATTATGATGGTGAGGGTTCAAACAGGATCAAGATTCTCATGGCTCCAGGGATCCTACAGGCCTATAATAGTGATACCTATTAGAAAACCTGAACACATCAGCATTTTCACTTACTGGACCATAATAGTTATGTTCCAGGTAAGGAATTCTAGCCACGGTGAGGTATTCTACAGTCTGCAGTCTCTGAAGAAATGCACTGGTGACCGTTAGTCTGTTGCTTGGTACCTACTGGGGCTCTGCTCCTTTTACCTTGCCTTTCACTGCAGGTGGCAAGTCTATCTCACCTGGTCCAAATAAAAGCTTAACTCACCCGGTCCATTTTAAACCAGGTCTTAGAAGTTGTGATATTTTCAGGCTTTCTGGGCCAGGTCACCTCCATGCAGTCAAGGTTTCCTCTTGTGAAACAGCCCGTAGAAGTGTTGTCACTGAGGGGAGTGAGCTGAGCTATAGGTGAGAGAGTTGGACAGCATAGTGGCATGGGGGTGAGGGGGGAGGAGTCTAGTGCACGAGCCAGGAATGAGTTGGGGACATGGCCCTTGCTGGGGACTCAGTAAGTACTTGGGAATGACTACATGAGGAAACCATTCTTTCCAGTTTTTCCCGGACTCAGGATGAAGGATTAAGGCTGACGATTCAAACTGACATACTGTCCACAGAGGTGACTCAGCGCTGAGTCCTATGAGAGGCTACTTTGCATCTCTAACCCCGGTTCTGGTTGGTCTTTCGGGGCAGGTTGAGCTGTGGGGAGGAAGAGGTGTGGGGAGGCAGAGTTGCATGTGTGGGGAGTCAGAGTTGCATGCTGGGTAGGGCTTTGCAGGGCAATGTTTTTCACAGCCAGCCTATTTCTGGCAAGAGGTATTACTTTCTAGGCAAGTGTCTATTTGCTATGTTGATCTAATACAACATGAACTTCTGAAACAGTTGTGCTCATTTTGCCAATTTTCCAAACTTAAGATGGGAATAGAGTTAATAAAGTAATGGAGGCATTTTGGATGGTGAAGCGCTGCTGAAAAAATGGCCACATGTGTATAATTTTACACTTGCTTCCTAAATTCCCATGCCTGGAAGGAGCCTTAGAAATCACAACCTCTTGTTTACAAACAAGAAAACTTAGGTCAGGAGAAGGAGAGGGTTTGTTCAAGGTTACATGGTTATTAAGGGAAAAGGCAGGATCCGAGTCCAAGACCTCAGGCTTCCAGAAAGTGCTGTTTTAACCCTATTCCAATCTTTTAATTTATGAATGGATGCCACTGAGGGATTTTTAGAGATTGCTTTAGCATCAGGGAGCAATCAGCTTTGCTCCAGCACAGACCATGGCTTTGTCTCGGTAGGCAACTACAGCCATGTAGAATCGTGGTCTTTTTTTTTTTTTTTTTTTTAGGGGAGTTTCAAAAGGTTTGATGAAGCAGTGGGAAGCTTTATTTCACCTTATATATTTTGTATATATAATATGTATCTTATAAGCGGATAGTTCATCTTATAGCCTCTATTTTATGCTATGATATTATTTATCATCAAAAGGTGATTCATTCAAAAAGTGCATCCCACAAGCACTTGTGAATGACGATCAGCACCATTTTAGGTACCAGAGGGTTTAATGGTGATGAATAAGGCAACCTCAATCCTTGTTCTTATGGAGCCTTCAGCCTAGTAAAGGATCTGGAAAGCTATTTTTAAAGTCCCGCTTCATTGTTCCTATCCAAAGTCCCCTGTAGACTATATCCTTGTCCAGCTCCCTGCCGTGACATTCTATTAGATAAAACACACTTCGGAAGAGTGAAACACTTTCCCCAAATTTAACCCTTGGTCAAATAGTTCTTGGAGAAGCAGCTCTACTAATTCAGAAAGCAAAGCGAGAGGAGTTTGAAAAGCCTTAAATGTCAGGAAAGTATGGAAACTGCTCACAGCAGGAAAGTGACTTGTTCAAGACCTCAAATATTGGTAGAGCCAGGAAGAGAACCAGATTCCTAGGCTCTTATTTTGTTACTCTTTTACAAGAATGAAATGTTCTAAAAATTCAAAAACATTCTAAAAATTCAAAAACATTCCTAAAAACTTGAGTCATTCCTTTATACAAAAGGAAAATCTACGGAAAGGACCACATCATTTGCCCCCAATGAGCCTATTTGTTTCCTGCTCTCACCCTAGGACTTGGCAAACTGCCTTGTACAAAGCAGGCACTCAATACACTTGTTACAAATGAACGAATGAATGACTGTTATGGACATTAATGTAAAGTATTAACTTACATTGATTGTTCATAGACACGTATGAAGCACAGTTTGGAAATTCATCCATGATGCCCCTAGAGGAGCTTTGTGTAGGATTTTTGAAAATTCTGTTACATTCCACAGGAAAGGGAAATGAAAGCTATTTCTGTGTAGTTTCTCCACAGGTGAAATTGAAAATTTTTTGTGTGTGTGTGTGGTACGCGGGCCTCTCACTGTTGTGGCCTCTCCCGTTGCGGAGCACAGGCTCCGGACGCGCAGGCTCAGCGGCCATGGCTCACGGGCCCAGCCGCTCCGCGGCATGTGGGATCTTCCCAGACCGGGGCACGAACCCGTGTCCCCTGCATCGGCAGGCAGACTCTCAACCACTGCGCCACCAGAGAAGCCCCATTATTCCCATTTTACAGATGATGACACTGAGGCGTAAACGTATAAGCTAGGAAATGTCAGGGCCTGCACTCAAAGCGAACTCTCCTGACTTTAGGGCTGGTGCTTTTTCAAGCATCTCACCCTTCTTTGTACACATGGCAATATCACAGCCCCCTGCACACGTACAGGCTTTCATCCATGAATCACGACATGGGAGATTTTGTGGTGAATCTGTCTTAAAAATGATGGATGCTGTACATTGGTGCACATTCCCTATTTTAGTTGACAGCATCACCTTGTGGATGAAAATACATCTGGTGTGTGTTTTTATTTGTAAATATATGTATACTCTGTCGATTAGGGATAATGAGCCAAGCTATCATGCTGTCAATCAGAGGTGTTTTGGGGTTGAAACTTCCTTTCCCGGCTTTATTTTTTAGTAATCAACTCTTAAAGAGGGATCAAATAATAATATTTAACTGATGAGTGAAGAGAATGAAGGCTGGTTTGTTTCTGGCCATCTTGGTTAAAACTTACTCCTGTTTTACCTGCTTAATTCATATTTTTTTTGAAAAGTGGTAATTAGAATTTATAGTATTTGTGGCTTTGTGGCAAGAACTAAAAGAGCAAAGTAAAATAATAACATCTTAGCAGAATCTCACTGTTTAAAACAAAAGAATGATAGGGCCTCAAGCCCCCAAATCTTGAAGTTCTGCCATTTCAACTTTGGGTGATTTTAAAACTCTCTTAGCCTCAGTTTCTTTATCTCTTAACATAGGGAAAATAAAGTCAAGCTTGTGGAATTGTCATCAAATGCCTGGTAACGTGGGTCCATATTTTGAAGATTGTAAGAGAGTCCCTGCATTCAAAGGCAAGGAATGAAAACTCTAAGACAGCCACCCAGTGCAGACAGAATCCCCAGCACTCAAGCAAAAATGTAGAGACATTTTAGCAGGACTCTTAGATAGTTTGGGTTCTTTTGCTGCTGCAGTGTTTGGTTGACAAATGGGCTCATAAAAATATTTTTATTATCCACAGTGAGAAATGACAAATACCCTGATTATTTTCCCCCAAGGTTTCTCAAATGAGAACAGAAAACTAACAACCCAACTTCTCGGTAGCAAAGTAAGGGCAGCTTATTCCAATGAATAGATTATTAATAATTATAGTAGATTATAATTAATTACTAAATTTCATAATTTGAGAATTATTAATTTGAATGGTTATTTGATAGAGAATTTAGCAATCTCCATTCCATTACATGTGATGTCTTGATGAAATGTTTCCTTCAGAAGTTTCATTGGAACAAAGTTTTGTGTTAAAAAAATGTTTTTTCCCCTTTTCTTGTAAGAGAACGCCTTATTGGGCAATCCATGCACAGCGGGAATGGATTATAAATAATGGCTCCTGGTCATAGAGTCTGAAAAAAGCCGGCCTCCTTAGCTGCACACCACACCAGCCTCTCCGCAGACTGCCAACCTCCCTCCCTGCATCCCCGCATCTCCCATCCCCTCCGTCCCCCCCCACATCCGCCCCCAGCCCAGCCCTCATGCCGAAGGTCTTCAGGGCAAACTTTCCGTTTGAATTTCCCGGCTTTTTGTCAGTTTCTGTCAGAGCCCTAGCCACCTTCTTCCACTGCCTGCAGGGCTTTGTTTTCCCTTCCCCTGCATTTGCTCCCTGTTAGCCCGTGTCCCGTGCCGGCGCATTTACAGTAGGCAGAACGCTGCTGACAGATGGTGGGGGGCTGGGAGTGGGGCTGCCTTGGCGCCGGGCCAAGGGATGTGCCTCCCGCCGGAATGCGCAGCCCAGAAGCTCCTCCTCGAAGCCGCGTCCGTTTGGTTTGGTTCTGTGGGCGTGTTTGTGTGTGCCCGTGCCCACGTGGCATGTTTTGTTGTGGTGGTGGCGGCGGTTGTGGCTGTTTTTGTTGTTGTTTGGGCCAATGACAACAGAGGCCTCGCTGGCTGGCTGCTGCTTTCCACTCTTGGCACTTCCCAGACTCCCAGACAGGAAATTCGCCTAACGTTTGCAGCTGTGAATTGGCCCATTTTTCTGGAAAGAGGATAAAGAAAAGAGTTCTGTGGGATCTTTTGCTTCTCTCGCACAAGCAGGGACGCGTTGAATACAAACAGGGACCTGGGGAGGGGGCGGGGGGGAGGACGGGGGAGGGAGAGACTGTGCACTTGGAGCATGCGCAGTGCTGTTCCCGGCGGCTTGATGTCGGGCTGCCCGGCAGGTGACACTGCCTTGGGTCCTGCTGGGGTTTCGGCAATTTGAACCCATTTGACAGCCAAGAGAGACACATTTGCTTTCATTCCTTCAACAAATATTTAGAGCTTGCTCTGCGACTGGTGGTTTGCTGGGGGCTGAGGATACACCAGGAAACAAAACAGATAAGGTCTGTACCTCATGCAACTAACAGCTGGGTAGACAAAGTGCAAGTAAGCAAACACATATCACAATCACACCCTTTTGGCAGTGTTTTCCATGCAACTTAATAGGCTGCCATGGTAGAGAATGATGATTGTAACGATAATGATGATGGTGATTCACAGTTTTTAATGAGTACTTCTTATATGTTAAGCACTGCTCTGAAGGCATTGCTCACTTAAACCTCATAATAACTCTATGGGGTGAATATTATGCAAATAGGCATTTGGGGGTGGTCAGGAAGGCCTCTCTAAGGAGATGAAATCTGAGCTGAGATATGGAGGATACAAAGGAGTCAGCTGTTTAGGCAGTCAAGGGGAGGGAATAGCAAGGACAAAGGTCCTGAGGTAGAGAAGAGCTTATGTGTATTCAAGTCATTGAGAAAGACCTATGGGATAGGGTGTAGAAGTAAGACGGTGACTGGAGTAGGAATTGAGGAGACTGGTGTGGTGTGGGATAAACTTGGGGAAGTAGTCAGGGCCCTTGTGAGGACTGTGTCCTGGAAAGCCTTATAAGAATGGGAAGCCACTGTTGGATTTAGAGCTGGGAAGAGATGTGATTGGAATTACATTTTTAAAAGATTTCTCCATCTGTACTGGGGAGCATGAAATGGATTGGATCATACAAGTGTGGAAGTGGGAATACAGAAAGCTATCACTGGCAAGAAATGATGGTGACGTGACTTAGGATGGTAGCTATGGACACGGAGAAGTGGAGGATTAGGTCTCTATGTTGGAGGTGGACACAAGAGGAAGTGCTGACCCACTAAGTTGATGAGGTGGTGAGACAGAGCAGTCACGGCTGGCACCCTGCTTTCTGGCTCTGGACACTTGATGGTGACGGATGGAAAGGACTGATGATGGACCACGGGTTCCTCCCTTGACACACAGAGCAAGTTTGTACCTCTTTGTATACTGGAAAGGTCGGTGCCCAGAGAGGAGATCTGAGGTCCTGGAACGAAGCGGAAATACCTTCAACTGAGGGGAAAAAAGAACCACCATATCATAGCAGGAGAATAATCACCTTACCTTTGTGACGTGATGTTTTTACGCTTTAAGTTCTGTCCCTTGCCTTATTTGTTCTTCATTATAATATTGTGATAGCATTATGATTAGTTCAATTTTATAGATGGAGAAAACGAGACTTGTGGGAGTGAAGTGACGTTTCATGGTCATGCAGCTGGTAAAACTAGTTATTGTCAACATGCATTGAAAACTAACTTTGTACCAAGTGTTCTTCTAGGTACTTTACATATGCTGAGTCTTCATAATCATCTAAGGTAGATATTACTTTTTCCCCATTTTTGCAGAGGGAAACTGAGGCATAGAATGTTTAAATAACTTGTTCAAGGTTGTATAGCTATCACTGTTACTATGTCTATAAGTAACAAAACTGGGCTGCAAATCTAGCTATTTGTGTCCTCAACCACCATGCTACACTGAGAATGACTGAATTAGGACTCTGACTGTCACAGCCTCTTTACTATTCTGAAATGCTTCCTCAATGCTACTTCTGCTGATACTCTTCCCCTCCAATGGATTTGTGTATCTAGGCCATTTGCAGTTTTGCTTTAGGTAGCCCATTTAGATGCCCATTCCTCAAATGTTTTCCTCCAGAGACTCTACAGCATCATGATGTGACATCCGACAAGAGACTAGAACTCTTTTGTTGAAGTGACATACCTTTCAAGCCAATCAAAATTCAAAAAGAAAAGAAAGAACCTGTGAAATAATTTGGTCTGTATTTATTTATTTATTGGAAACCATTTTTCTTTTCTGTTCTAAGTTTAAAGTTAATACGTACGTCATGGGATGTGACTTCTTATTTTCTTGAAATTCTTAGGGCCAAGTAGGAAGGCAGGCATGTAAACATTATATCAGTTTCATTTTCCTGTTAACGATGATCCGTGCACATAACAAAGGTGAAAGACTTAGGCCACAAACAGTCTCCATGTATCCCCTGATTAAGATCCTGTGGGTGATCATCTTGGCAGCACTGAATGTACTTCATGTCACATTTCTTCATCGAGGGCAGACAGGAGAGCGATAAGTCCAGCTTTCTTTGTGCATATGTATCCGATCAAGCTTTCTGACTGTGGATGTGAGAGTGATGACGAACATGCAATCCGGCACTGCACAGCCTTCCAGAAAGTGGCTCTGTTCCTGAGTAGGGTTGAAACAACCACAGGCAATGTGCTTTTTTTTTTTTTTTGCTATTGATTGGTTGAGTAACAGTGGAGCTGGGTCCTCATTCTGAAAATGCTCTCTTGGTATCTCTCATCCCCAGATGGTGGTGAACAGCTGCCTCACTTCAGGCTGGTTGTTCTGAAGATGAGGTGAGATGATTTCTCCATTCTGGCCACCATTCAATCAGGTAGTGAGGACAAGAGAGGCAAGATGCCTACACCATAGTTCTCAAAAAAATTACGGCAAAAGGTTGCTTTACGTTGTTCCCAAAACGTGCTCCTCAGTTAGGTTTGGGAAATCTTGCATTCTATTTCTGCCATGTATTGGCATATGAAAAGCTCTAAGTCCTACAGTAAAGAAACATGTTTGATTTTGCTGAACATAGCACTTCCCAAACTATCTATTGTCGTGTGTGCTGATAATCAGTTGCGTGAATCATGCCCCAGCCAGGTCATTCTTTAGCCCATTCAATGTGTGTTGAGACCAAATATGCCTTAAATAAATCCCTAAGAGAAAAAAATAATGTCTAGGGTAAGGTGTTTCCAGTCAGATGACCTGGAGCTCATGAACTGGCTTAGTCTATTAGAAATTCTGTAATTTTGGGGAAGCATACTTAAATTCCTTGAGTTCCTTCATTTGTAAAATGGAAAAAGGAATATTTTTTTAAAAGGTGATTGTGATTTATTTATTCATTAGTGAATGTATTCACTGAACAAATATTTATTGAATATCTTCTCCATGCCAAGTATTGTGCCGTGGACTGGGGATTCAGAAGTTAGCCAGCTCTATTAGTCAATCAGCGTTCTCTAGAGAAACAGAATCAATAGGAGATAGATAGATAGATAGATAGGGAACCAATCATAGATATATATTATAAGGAATTGGCTCGTGCAGTTACGGAGGCTGAGATATGCCAACTGCAAGCTGGAGACCCAGGAAAGCCAGTGGTGTAATTCAGCCCGAGTCCAAAGGCCTGAGAATCTGAAGCTGTGAGGCAAGAGAAGATCAATTTCCCAGCTCAGGCAGGAAGGGCCAAATTCTTCCTTCGCCTGCCTTTTTGTTCTGTTTGAGCCCTCAGTGGATTGGATGATACCCACCACATTGAGGAGGGCAAGTTGCTTTACTGAGTCCATTGATTCAAATGCTAATTTCATCTGGAAACACCCTCACAGACACATCTAGAAATAATATTTAGCCAAATATATGGGCACCCCGTGATCCAGCCAGGCTGACACGTAAAATTAACCATCACACCAGCACACTTGGAGTTGTATTGTTTACTCACGAGAAGTTCCTGATCTACCTTTTGCCTTTATACTGTCCTGGGACATCAGTTTCTGGTCCTATGTTTTGGTATTACATAGCAAGAGAGATTCACCAGTAAGGCTGGTCTCTGCCAGACCAAGCCAGATGTTTTTCAGAACCTCCAAGCAGAGAGGAGTGTTACTCACAGCCTGGATGGGTAATGTAAAATATGCCCAGGCGAAAAGCAGCTACTTGTCAAGGCTTCTCCTACAAAAGTTTTAAAAATGCTATTCTGACTTCTACCCTTTGTACTTTTTATTTTTTATTATCCTGTAGTATTCAATCTCTGCTCTTTCATTGGAGAAATTTATTTTTAAAAATTGACGTATGAAAGATTTTCCTTTGAAGATGAATATATTACTAAGGTGAGAGGGGGAAAACATGGCAGATGGCTGGTTCACTTGTGTCCCATGTTGTTATTACTAGTGCCTGGATAGAGAAGATACTTGGTCTCCTTCCCTCCTCCTTCCCTCCTGCTGCCCTCCTAGCCTTGAAGGGAGCCCTTTTAAAAGAGGTCACCCTTGAGGAAAGCACTAAATTAACCATACAGTCAATACAAGGCCTTGGTATCTAGACAAAGGGCTTATGGACCATCGTGCTTTTGTTTGTGGTTCACTGACTCCTTGCTTACATTTGTAAGAAGTTGGTCCAATAAATTCTTCAATACTCATAACTCATCCTGTTCAGAGCTTCTTGCTCACAGATCTAGGGCAACTTGTAATACTTGGAGATGGGGTGGGTACAAGAATTAAAAACAAAAACAAACCTACTTCCTCTATGTGATTACTCAAATGGAGGGCAAGAATATCAAAACAGATGACTCTAAGTGGGAATTCAGTGGGAATGGAGAGACTAGCAACTTTTTGGCCTTTTGTTGTATGTTGCTCCCAAATAGGGTTTCTCAAACTCAGCACGATTGACATTTGGGCATAATTCTTTGTGCATGGTTGCTGTGCTGTGCACTGTAGAACGTTTAGCAGTATCCCTGTACTCTACCCATTCAATGCTAGTAGCAACTGTTTCCAGACATGTACCCAGGGGACAGGGACAAAATCATCTCCGACTGAGAACCATTGCTCTAAAAGCAAGAATTCTTAAACATTCTGTGGCAATGGATCCTTTTGGTAATCTGGAGGAGATGATAGACTCTTTTTTTTAGATTAGTGTTTCTAAATGTATAAAATAAAATACACAGAATAACAAAGGAAAACATTTATTTTAAAGTTATCAAAGTATTAAAAAATCAAATTTGTGCTATGGTAATTTATGTGCTTCTATTAACATATTAAATAAAAATACCTGAAGCTGGACCCAAACAAGTACCTTACTTTCAAAGCAGTGGTGAGCTCATAAGCTATTTCAAGAAACCTGCAACAACCATTATGTAGATATAAACATACCTGTGACTTGAATTGTGACAAAATTCTAAGACTACTACAGCCTGTTCCCTACGTTTATATCTGAAGGTAATGTTAAATTTCAGTTAGCAGTTGATGGAAACGAAGATGTAACTTTTTCTTGTCCATGTCCACAGAGCACCTGAATTCAGCGGTACTGAATACAGAATTCCCTTTTCTAAAGCGTGAAGGAAAGAAACCATGTAAGTTGAAGTTCTTTTTGTGATATTTAATTAATAACCCCAAATTCAAATCAGAGTGCCTGAAGTGAAGGTGAAGCTTTGGCAGTCGAACAATTATGAGCAAACCACGAGTGCAGAGAGAATCTTTAAATCCAGGAAAGCACGCATTTTACAGGCATAACCTAAGCACTCCATCTTACAAATGCAGAACTCAAAGACAGCAGAAGAAGGACTATAAAATAATTGGGCTGAAACCAAAGAAGGTATCCTGGTGTGGCTGAGGGGTCTGAAGGTCTACTGGGCTCTGCTGATGGTGGTGACAGCAGTGCTGTTGGGAATTGGCGCGGCCAACAGCTAGCTGCCCATCTGAGCAAGTTTCCTAACCAGCTGGGCCTCAGGGCCTTCTCTGTACAGTGATGGACTCAGCTCGGGCCAATGTTGATTGAATATCTGTTGCTCACTGACATAGTTTAATACGTTTCCACCCATACAAAACTCACTTAGGCTAACCAAAATCGCAGAAACGTGTACTTTAAGGTGAAGGCATTGAGATGGAAAGAGAGATTGAGTCCCGTTGTTTAGTTGTACAGGTAGTTAATGGAAGAGTTAAGTAAGCTTGTTGGGACAGGAGCTGAGTTTATGTTTTTTTCCAGGAGTCTTGGCAAGTGCCAGGAATATATTAGGCACTCAGTAAATAGTTGTTGAATGAATGAATAAATGAGTATATGAATGCATCCATAAATCACAAACTTCCATTTTCAGAGCTGAGTCAACCCATTTATCTCTATATTATACTCTTTGAGTAGAGGAATTGTGGGGATACATTTTTATCTCATTTTCTTACTTATTGTGTAATTCTAATACACTTATCTACTCATAAAACACACACACACACACACACACACACACACACACACACACACACAGAAGTGTCTTATTTTGTGGGCCTGTTGGCTCCTGTGGGATAGAGAAGTCCAGTTCGGGGTTATCTTCCAGAGAGTCCTGTCAGAACCTTAACCAGGTTCTACTGACAGCGGGACGGCTCCTGCAAGATTTATTGCCATGTGATGTTACCACCCTACTGAAGTCAAGTTTCTGATAAACTGATTGGGCCAGTGAACATGTGGTAATAAAAACTCTATAAAAAAAAACAAAAACAAAAAACCCACAAAACTACTATATAGAGATTATTTAAAGTATACCTGAGGATATGCACAGGTTATATGCAAATGCTATACCATTTTATATATGGAACTTGAGCATCTGTGAATTTTGATATTCGTGGGAGTCCTGGAATCAATCCCCCGTGGATACCTAGGGACGACGCTACATGTCCTGTTTTTTTTTTTTTAATAAATTTATTTATTTACTTGGCTGTGTTGGGTCTTCGTTGCTGTGTGCAGGCTTTTCTGTAGTTGCGGCGAGTGGGGGCTACTCTTTGTTGCAGTGCGTGGGCTTCTCACTGCGGTGGCTTCTCTTGTGGAACATGGGATCTAGAGCGCAGGCTCAGTAGTTGTGGTGCACGGACTTAGTTGCTCTGCGGCATGTGGGATCTTCCTGGAGCAGGGATTGAACCTGTTTCTCCTGCATTGGCAGGCGGATTCTTAACCACTGCGTCACCAGGGAAGCCCTCTATATGTCATGTTGAATGAGGCGCATCTATTCACTTTTAGTTCATTATTATCATGCTAGAATGTAGGTCTAAAGTTCTTCCAGATTTTAAAAAATATCTGAAATTTGAGTTTTAAATGTTGACAACTCGTTTCAAATGTTGAAGACCCAGTGAAGGCCAGATTTGATCCTAGGCTGGCCTTGGACGGTCTCCAAAGTCTTGCAGTATCAACAATTCAGTGAATACAAGTAGATGTGCTTATTGTCTGTGAAATAATTCTTTAAATTCACTTTTTATAGTGCTTTACAATTTGCAAGTCGTTTGCATGATTTTATCTGAGTCCCGTGAAAACTTTGCGCACTGCTGTTACCCTGTTTTACAGAAGGGGAATCTTAAGTTCTGGAATGTTGAGTGACTTGTTCACAGGTCCAGAGCAAGAAAGTGGCAGAACCTAGATCCATTCTGTAGTCTTGAACTCCCTGGCACCTCTGCCAACTATACTGCCTTGTCCCATCACACAAGACCTTTGTAACTGTATTTCTGGGGGTCAATAAGAGGAAACATCACCACTCCAACCATTGACCTGTGCAATTCTGTCCTTGGAATTAGGAAAGGTTATGAGATGATCAGTCTTTCAGAAGGAAAATCTGAATCTCTGTTCTTGTACCACGTTGATGCCAGGTCAATATTTCTTCTAAAGCTTCAGGCATTCCCCAGTCACTTCAAAGTAGAAGTAGGACTGGGGGAAGGAGCCTTATATCCTGATCATGATTCAACTGCTAACTGGCTGTGTGACTTGAGGCAACAATTCCTTTGTCCTCTCCCTGAACTTTAGGTTCCTCATCTGTAAAACAGGAACTGTGATATGTTAAGTGGCAGAGCTGGAGGCCAGATCAGCACCCCACCCCATCCCATGAAACGTCACCAGCTTATCCTTTAGAGATCACAGGCAATTGGGGGAAGCAGCCCTCCGACATGCAATAGCTCTACAGGGTGATATGCGCTACTAATGAGAGATGCATGGAGAATGATACATAAAGAAGACACACAGCAAGGCATTGAGGTATTTAGTAATTATTAACTCTTTCTATTAGTGGTTATAAGTAGATGTAGCACAGAAGCTGGCTCAATTTGTGCTATTATCTTAATACCTTTCAGAAAGAATTAAAAACTGTTAGTATAAAAGGATATAAGATAGAAAGGAGTCTCCCTCTCACTCTGACCTCAAATTCTACTTTCCAAAAGGTAGCTTATCATAGATTTTTGTGTGCCTTCTCAGAATTTCCTAGATTTATAGAAGTACATTTTAGTGTGGTGTATATGTCTATCTCTATTTGTGTCTGTATCTAGTTTTATATTCCCTGTTTTTCACAAATAGGAGCATGCTACACACATCCTTCTCTACTTGCTCTTCTTAGTTAAAAATTTAGTACATATAGATCTATCTCATTCTTAATAGTAGCTGTATAGTATTCCATCATTACATCTCTCTCTTCTCTCTCTCTCTCTCTCTCTCTTTTTTTGGCCGCACCATGTGGGATCTTAGTTTCCCGACCAGGGATCGAACCCGCACCCCCTACAGTGGAAGCGTGGAGTCTTAACCACTGGACCACCAGGGAAGTCCCACCATCACTGCATCTCTTTATGTGCCTGTCTTAGTCAGTTATGTCTTCTATAACAAATCCTCATAGACTTGGTGGCTTAAACAACTTTTGTTTTTCACAGTCCTAGAGACTATAAAGTCCAAGATCAGGATGCCAGCAGTGTCGGTTTCTTGAGGAAGGTCCTCTTCCTGGTTTACAGAGGGAGCTGTCTCTTCCATGTATCCTCACATGGCAGAAAGCAGAGAGGAAGAGGAAGCAAGCTCTCTTGTGTCTCTTTTTATAAGGGCACTAATCCCATTTATCAGGGCCTCACCTTCATGACCGAATTACCTCCCATAGGCCCCACCTCCTGAAATCATCATAGGTTAGGATTTCAACATATGAATTTGAGCACACAAAAATATTCAGTCCATAATATTTATTTAATAATTTCTAATTGATGAACATTTAGTATATGCCTACTCCTTCGCTGTTTCAAAATGTTTCAATGTACATTTTTGTGTATATCATTGTATACAAGTTCATCTTAAAATAAATTTCTACTATTGCTTTATTATAGGTTTTGAACATTTACATTGCTCTTTAAAAAGACTGCACCCTTAATACTTTAAGGAACATTTTGAGAAAGTACTGGCACATTTTTACTAATGTGCTGTCTTATAAAGCTTTGATTTTTGTCCACTGAGAGGTGAAAATATTCTGTTTTTATTTGCATACTTGCTTTTAGTGAAGTTGAACAGATTTTCAAATGCTTTCTAGACATTTGTGTATCCTGTGAAGAAGCTCACTTGTGATCATTATCCAGTTTTCTATTGGGTTGTTAATTTTCTTTCTTATTGAATTATAAGAGCTCTTCATATATTAAGGAAACCATACTACTTGTATGTCACAGATGTTGCAGTTTTTTCTGCTGTTTGTCATTTGTCATAATATCTTCTACATACATCTTTTTAAAGGTCTGTTTTTCAATGGTTTAAAAATCAAGATTATTCCTCAATATTACTCTGATTATGTGGCTGATGCTGCTGAGAATTGGGTTTGCACAGCTTCACTAAGAAGCTTCTCTTTGTTTATCACAAGGGGATGATGTAACACTTCTTGAGGACCTGGTTTCTGCCACTGTGAGTCATTCAATTACTGGAAAAACTAAATGACCACTGGATACTATTGGAACATTTCCCATAATTCTCTAAGGAATCGAGGGCATTCTAGAGGGAATGTTTCTCATTCCCTCTGTAACCAGTCATTATCCTGACTGACTTCAAGGCTTTGTCTCTGTGTGAAAAATTAAGGAAAATCCCAATGCAAGAAAAGTTGCCCAAGTTATTTTGAGTTTATAAAAAAGTGTTCATCAATGGAAGCAGGAATTTTGGAAGGAAGATCCAGAAGACTTATTGGAGAAGCTCAATGCCTTCAGCCATCATGATTTGGTTTGCAGGCCACACAGTGAAGTGCTTAGAGTGTCCCAGCCAAAGAAGAGAGGACTTCCATTAACCAGGCAGAAATATCGACAGAAGAACTTGACTTCAGCCTGAACCAGTGGAGACAAAGATCATACACAGTCACCGAGGTAAGAGAGGTGCACGATTTTATTCTGATCCAGATTTGATAAGACAAGACACAAAAACAAACCCCTCACTATGGACTTTGAGGATGGGCTGTTCATTTGAAAACCATCTGGCATGGAGCGGTCAGATTCACCATCTGAAACAGCATCAGAGATATAAGGAAGGGAAGACTACCTTTCTTCCAAGGTCACAAGCACCACCAAAACAGAGGGTAGGGTCCTGGCAGTGCACATCTAT